ATTAACAAAACAAAAATAAAAGCCAGGCACAGTGGCGTGTGCTTGCAGTCCCAGCTGAGGCAAGAGGATCACCTGAGCCCAGGAGTTCAAGGCTGCAGAGTTTGATGATCGCACCTTTGAATAACCACTGCGCTCCAGTGTGGGCAACAGAGTGAAACCCCATCTCAGACAGTGGCCAAAAGAAAAAGGAGGATAATAACATCTATATAGCTAGCCTGTTGTAAAAAGAAAAAGAGATCACACAAGTAAAGCTCTCAGTTTCTTGAAAACAACAAGCACTTGAGAAATTGTACTGATTTTATCAGTTACCAGTGACTTCTGGTACCTCATCAGCAGGAGCCATTGTGCCACTATCACTGGTCTCATGGCACCTTGTTGTATTATTTTCAGTCTGAATTTTAGCTGTAGGCTACCTATCACTAGGAGGACAAAAGTAAGCAATGTAGTTTTAAGAGTAATCGAATTCATAAACCGCTTTACTTTCTATAAGGTCAGACTTCATTAAAGAGGAATATGTGAGGGTTATTACATTAGCAATATCAATAGGAAAGCAAACACAGGGAAAATACATCTTATTTGCCACTACAGGGGCCATATATTAGCCAACACATATAGTAGCAAACATTAGTATGTCTGATTAACACATTACTACCATCATCATGTGGTAAGTATATAATGAGAAAAAGATGATGTAAAAATTTCAGGCTGGGTGGGGTGGCTCCCGCCTGTAATCCCAGCACTTTGGAAGGCTGAGGAGGGTGGATCATCTGAGGTCAGGAGTTCAAGACCAGCCTGGCTAACATGGTGGAACCCCGTCTTTACTAAAAACACAAAAATTAGCTGGGCATGGTGGTGGATGCCTATAATCCCAGCTACTTGGGAGGCTGAGGCAGGAGAGTTGCTTGAACCCGGGAGGTGGAGGTGGCGGTGAGATGAGGTCGGGACACTGCACTCCAGCCTGGGAGACAGAGCGAGACTCTGTCTTAAATATATATATATATATATATATATATATATATATATATATATATATGAAGGCATCATAAGGGTCCTACTGAGGGAACAAATGAATAAGAATGTAATAGAAAACTTAAGTACCCTGAATGTCCTAAAGGGCTTATTCTTATCGTTTAGGCAATAAAGACTTCAAGATGACATAAAGCATGTTTACTGTTTTGTCTATTGGTTCTATTATCACATGCAAGTTTACTACTGAATTGTATAAGCTCATAGATATGTTTCTTCAATTCCAGGGTGTTTTTCTCACAATCTATATGTTTGAGGTATCTCTTGTCAGCTATGTAATGATTTAAATAAATCCTATATGGCTTTTTAAGGGCAGTGATATTAAAATAAGGTTTACAGATGTTCCAGACAGACACTTCTCCTTCTCTTCCTTTTATTCACTCCACATGTATTCAATATTTACCATATAAAGTGCCACACACAATGCTAGACTCTTGGAGAAACCTTAAAAGTGATGGTGTGTTAAGTGTAATAGGCATCCTCTATTCCTATGGAGATGGAATCAGATGCACTCTTAACAGATGTATCTTTCCTCAGCATACTTTTAAATAATGATAAAAACTTCCATGTTTTCCTTTATTTCACTTTCTCTTTAAACTGTTCATTTAAAAAAAAAAAACAAAGGTTGGTAAAAGGTTTTTTTTTTTTTTTAAAAAAAAAAAAAACTGAGAGTCAGGTGAATAAGAAGTGAACATAGAATGAAGAGAAAGAAAAACAGCCCAGCCAAGTGCTCTCTAATTAAAGTCGGTTGCATGAAGCATCTTCCAAAAACACAAGAAGGCTGAGTTTACCTATAAAATTCTCAAGAAATCCTTGCCCTGAAGGTATTAAAGCCTCAGGGTAGTTATTTCAAGAGTGGATTCCTTCAATCCCTACAGTTAAGAAAGTCACCACCTTCATTTGCTGTTATATTTTTTCTGTGTTTATCTTCTGTTTTTTCTTATTGGCGAACTCTGTTCGGCACCCTTCAGATAAATCAAGTAATTTCTATAGAGTGGTCTAAACCTAGTGAGAGGAAAATAGAAATTTACAAGTTATTGCTGTGCAAAGCACCGAAGGGGAGCACCAGACTTAGGCTCCCTTCCCTACTGCCGTTTTTGACACTGGGAAGCCTTGCAAGCCTTCTGGGGCTCAGTCACCTTTTCTGTTACATGAGGATATGTCTGCGGAATCCTGAGTGCTCTGGGCTCTGCCATGCAGAGGAGGATGAGAAGAAACAGCAAGGTGTGAAGGTCTGGTCAAAGTGACAAAGGAAGAGTTTGACCAGTAAAAGCTCTTACTTCGAGATGGTGTAGACCTTTGATTCTTGCATACCTTTGTTTCCTTTTGCTCTGTTTCTTTTGGATGGCTTTCTCCCTGTGTGTGGTATCACAGCCTGGATTACCTCCTGCACATAAAGTGCATAGGAGTGGGTGGCTTTCTGTGGGGAACAATTCTCTCCCTTGAAACTCATTTACTTCATCATCTTTTGCTGCCTCTTCTGGCCAGAGGTTAGGATTTCAAAGTTCAAGACTACAGTGTAGGCTCTACAATTTATTTTATGAAGAAGGCTCTTCCCTATTTTTTTTTTTTTTTTTTTTGAGACAGTCTTGCTCTGTTGCCCAGGCTGGAGTGCAGTGGCACAATCTTGGCTCACTGCAACCTCTACCTCCTGGACTCAAGTGATTCTCCTGCCTCAGCCTCCTGAGTAGCTAGGATTATAGGCACATATCACCACGCCTGGATAATTTTTGTATTTTTAGTACAGACAGAGTTTCACCATGTTGGCCAGGCTGGTCTCGAACTCCTGACATCAAGTGATCCACCCGCTTTGGCCTTCCAAAGTGCTGGGATTACAGGCCTGGGCCACTGTGCCTGGCCGGCTCTTCCTTTGCTCATTCTCGTATTCTTTTATTGAGCCACTACTGAGTGGGATAGATCCAGAGACAGACATAACAAGGTTGTCACCCCAAAGTGATAATGTAGGAGGAAAGACCAACATGATAAATTCCTCAAAGGATTTAAAAAACAGAACGTCATGACAATCAGAACCTGTTGTCACTCCAACTACGATCTATGAACTAAACATCTGGTGTTTTCCAGGTAAAGTATAAAGTTGTATCTCACATCTTTTGTTGATTTTTAGAAGCTGTCCTGGAGCATCTATTCAGAGGTCAAGAAGTCTGTCACTACTTCAGGCGCTGAGCACTAGGATTTGCTATACACGCAGTATTAGCTGCTGCAATCTTGTAATCAATTAAAATGCTGAATTGATTCCAAGGAGTATTTGGTTAGTTACCTCAGAGCCAACATAGGACACTTTTTCCCTGTGTTAACTCCTGCTTGAACTTCTCTATCTATTGTGGGTCCCTGGATCCCTGATCAGATCTTTTCTAATCCAAAAAAAGTGGCTGTTGTCATAAACCTTATACTGATGGGGCCTGTTTCCCTTCCTACCTACCACACATCTGGTGCGTCTCCTGGTCTTCACGATGTATGTCTCACATTTACTGCAAACACAGCAAGACTGTCATAGCTCTTAGCATATTTGATTTTTTTTTTTTTTTTTTTTTTTTTACAGAGAATCACTTTGCTTTTTCAAGTGTTGAGTCAAAGCGTTAAGTAAAAGTTGACATGCCTGCAACTTATTTTTAAATAGCAAATCATAATCATCCCGCACTTTCTAAAGTACTAAACTTAGCATATAAATCATATATCCTTACTAGAAGGAGCTAGCCAGAAAAATGTAAATAACAAAATTAAAATTGCTAAGCTCCCTCATTATATATTTATAATTAACCATCAAATTATTAACTCTGTTTTCACAATTTCTGAAATAGGTTGTTGATATTAAGGAGGCTGTTCAACAAAAACCTCAACAAGTATAGTCTTAAAGTCAAATCAACGAAATAATCTCTTAAATGTTTAGCCATCCATGAGCATTTGCATGAAATTTCAGCAATTGTGGTTGCTTTCAGCTTTTTAGGATGTTAGTTTTCTACACAAACATACTGCAAAGAACATACTTGATAGAAAATCAAAGTGACTTGTTTCCATACTTTACACATGACTTTCAAACAGCACTAATCAGATTTTATGTCCAGGACCATGGGACTAAGGTAATTATTTTATTTCTCAAATAACCATCACGTATCCTAGCATGTACTTCCTCATTTATACGACTGCTCCCCTGTCCGTATTCTTTTCTCATATTTACTGTGTCATTTGGCATCAGGTACCACAGTTAACTGGACATATGCCTATTTTTGTCTAGTTTGACACAGCTACTTAAGGGTAAGCATCCCTGTCTGTGGAAAGGTACAAAAACAGAATCAGGGATCTCAGAATCACCTTTGTTCACAGTGATGACCATGATGCCAATAAATGAAAAACAAAGAAGGAAACTCTCGGAAAGAAAATGTCATGTATTCAGGGATGAGCATCACAATGGGAATCCAGGTGCCACGGTAACGCATGTACGAGTCACACGGGAAGAGCACCTTGCCCTGTGTCCCTTTGAGTCCACTTCACCCCTATGTATCTCCAGATACAGGGATGAGATTGAAGGTTCATCCTCAAGCTTCAGGCACAGTGCCATTTCTGATACGGCTAAGAGTCGTTTGGATAACACAATAGCGACTATGGGCCGCAAAATTAATGCAACGTATGAGAATTTCTCAAATCACACAAATGGAGGAACTGAGGCAAATTTATGTGCTGGAAGATGGAAGGACTACAAACAAGAAACAAAGGACTGTGACAAGGTGGCAGGTATTGAAAAAACTGGGGCAATGTTAATTAATGGCGACGAAGCAGAAAGTGCTGGCTGCCAAGGAAGGGGATTTGGAAGTCTGGATTCATTCTCGGAAATATGGGACTACAAAAAAAATGTGAAGGAGTTTTTAAATGAAGCTCATGCGCGGATACCGGGGCTGCCACACTGTCTGGATTGGTTAGTGTCTATGTCAGCATGCAAATGTGGTGCTTTTCCTTACCTCCAGATGCTCTAAAATATAGGGTGGATTTGTCATGCCAAGCCTCAGCATTGCTCCCTCAGGAATCACTTCAACCAGTTTCCAAAGGAGTGTGGGGAGATTGGTGCCAATATCTCTGCCATAAGCCCCCGTGTCTTCACTGGTCAACCATATCTCACAAACACCCTCTGTGAATCAAAGGAGATAATTAACAAATCCGTGGCAGAGCTGTTTCCTTCATCATACAGCTGCTCACTCTTTTTAATGCAGTATTTCTCAACACTATTATTCAGGCAGTCTGGGTATTCAATTGCAGAGAAAAAGCAGCTTATCCCACAGTGCCAGTGGGTTATTAAGTTCATTTTATGAACACCAGAGAGTTACAACAATGCTGCAAATTATCAGTGTGTCCTATGAGGTGATTAACATTCGCAGCCAATCAGTTCAACTGTGCTTACCCCAAAGCACTTTGATCAAGACGAAAGCCTCAGTCCCACCTCAGAGAATACCTATTTTATTGAACACTCTAAGCCCTGGGACCGAAACAGTCACTCCACAGAATAAGCGCTATCAGCAGTTAACTCATTAATCAGTATGGCACCAACCTAAGGAAAAATGTCAAGTGTAGTTAAGGTTTAACTCACATATTATTAATTATAAGGTACCCATTTTCCCCATAGCAACTATTCTAGTCTGTCTTCGTTATTCAATTAAAAATAGTATTCATTTTATTGCTGCATCCAAAAAAGTTGGTTGCTGCCTACACTGAGTGTTTGTGGTGGAAAACCTGTTTACTGACAGCTTGCATTCTATTTTCCATAAATCAGACTTCAGAAAAATGTATATGTATTTTTGTCATTGTTGTTATGAAGAATACTGACTTCAAATATCATAGCCTGCAATGATATTGCTTCAAAAATCAAGAGGAAATACTTTGGGATTCCCCTCATGTTATTTAAAATGAATAAAACAGGCTGAGCAAGGGCCACTCAGGCTTTCACGGCACACAGAACTTTTCTGAATCCATATTCAGTGACATGATCAGCCTGTTTTAAAAGGCCAAATGATTAACAAGGCTAAAACAAACAATGAAGTGAGCCTGTGAAATTTGCTCACGCTCAAGTGGTTTGTGGCTTCTGAAGAACACATACACACAGGCACACAAACTGATGACTTTAGCCTGAACCAAAGTATACGTTTCTAGAAAGTGTCTTAAAACTGTAATTTTAAATTCTCTTTAGTTGACAGAACAGAAGAGTTTCAAGAATACATTAAATATTCCTGGCCAAGAGAGACAACAAATAAAACACAGGCTTTTATGTGAATGTGGACTTAAAGCTCACAGAATAAAAAAACACAAAATAAAGATCTTCACTCCTCTTAATATGTTCCAAGAGGTAGAGAAAAACACAGCATAAAGATTTCCAATCACTATTTTTTCCTTTAACATAAGAAATATAATTACTTTATCAATAAAACTAAACCACATAAAAACATTTTCACTTTTTCCTGCCTATCTTTTTGAGACACACACAACCTCTTCCACACCCACACACCATGGAAAATATAAGGATAGAAATAAGATTGTAGCATTCCCTAAAGAATCAATAACTTAGCATTGAGAACAGAATACACAGAAAAAAAGCTCACTTAAAAAGATTTTTTTTTTAAATAAAAAGCTCAATACATTAAAAAGCTGAAGATATTTTTAGCATCTGAAAATCAGTAGTATTATGGTTATGTGGGTTTTCTTAGTTTAAATTAAATACCTAGTTCCAGAAATAATAAACCTTTGCTTAATCGTAATCATTTAATAAAAAGCTTTATCCTCCAAAGAAATAGTCTGGCATGTCCATAGGCTATTTTTAGAGGCGTATAATTTTATAAATATTCTCTGTACATGGAATAAATCTTTTTCTATTTAAAAAGTGGACTGAAATTAATGGTATCATCTTTAATATTATACCTGCCATCGGACACTGGACTCATAAAATCTTTTTTTTAAAAAAAAATCTTATCACAAAATCCACTTCAGGAAAAGAGATTGCTAAGTAACAACATAAACAGATTTTAAAACATTCTGAAAGAGGTTATAAAAACAGGACATTATCCATGATTTTCCAGTTACTGGCATTTGAACAACACAATATGAATATTTTTAAATGAACAGAATAATTTTAATTTATAATTTTTCCATCCAAATGGTTCCACGTTATGCCTTATGTAGAGAGAGCGGGTTCCTGGAACAGTGCCTTGCTGTTGCTAGATGAATATAGAAGGGGAAAAATCGCTATGAATAGGAATGGAAATAACATCCACGCAGAAACAGCAGCCAGCTCTTCAAGCTGCATAGGTGGGGACCAATAGCCCCCTGGTGGGCTGAAACTTCAAATTAAATCACATAAAGAGGAAGCAGCTGTAACACTAAATCAGCAACAACAGGAATAATGATCTTGATGTCTCCAAGATCAAGGCTGCTCAAATACTCTATATAATAGCAACCTGGTTTAAAACACAATGGAACGAAAGAGCATGAGCAAAATGTGAAACCCTTGGACTTGAGGAGAATTTTCCCTTGCCAATTCAATTCAAAAATGTGTCAAAGACGATCTTTGAGAAAGTTCAACTTTTCTCAGGGTGTGTTTCAAGCATTAATCCTAATGAGAACGGACCCATCAAATAGGATATGGAAGTCATTTCATACAAAAAGTGATGCTAAATGTGGAATCCCCATGCCTCACATCCTTTTCCCTGGAAAGTCTCCTGATTCCTCATAGCATGGGCGGCTCCTGCTAGGCCACGCTTGCTATGAAGTCACCAGAGCGCCTGAGAGCGTCAGTAGCCACTCACGGACACACACTGGGACACACGCTTCTATCTCCACACTTAATTGGCCAGACTTACGGACAGAACTCCGTAAATCAGCTTCATTCCTTAAGGACTTCAGTTATGAGCTATAATTCAGTTTGGCCCTTACCTACTGTGTGCCCTGCTGCTCGCTCTTCCAGCTCACCACAGGTATGGATTCACTATGAAACTCGCTATCACTTAACAGCTGGCAAGGGGGCACTGACTAACGTCTGGGGCACTTCTCATCCATCCCTACTGGTGGTGGGGATACAGTGGGACAGTCTTCAAGAACACAGCCTTAGACCAACACGAAAGGGCCTGCTGGGCCGGCTTAAAACGGACACAATGTCAGCCACAGTGAGACAGTCCCAGCCTGCACTGTAACGTGGAATTGGACTAATATATATCAGGAAGATAAACACATGAAAATGAAAAAGAGATGCAGGCAGAAGAACTAAGATAAGAGAAGTGAATGTCCATTAAAAACTCCCATGCCTATAAAAATACATACATGCAAAAAAGAAAGTGGTGGGGGAGGAAAGTGGGAGACAGAAATTAGGGTTTTCTAGGCATCCAAGGGAAGATTGTACTTATTTCAAAGATTGTTTATCTACCTGGCTTTTGTTCGTTTTCCCAAAAATTGTTCCGTCTACCCAACTTTTTAAATGAACATTATGTTCATCAGATCATCCACCATCCTTTTGATGCATTAATTTTGGTAAAAGGAAAAGCAAATACTGGGAAGAATGAATGCACTATACAGAAAAAACGCCTTAAGTTTGGTTATTAGATCCATTCTCCTCTTACCCAAGCACTTACAGAGCAGCCTATATAGTTGAAACACAAAGCCACTTTTCCCTGAATAAACAGGGCCCCAACAGCTAGATTCCCATCTCTGCTCCACAGCAATTTAGATGACAGGAGACACAAAAAGTAGAAGACATAAAGGTTTGATAATAAAAGAAGGATAATGTTCTCAATAAAACAGTCTCATCACAAAGAAAATCCCTTTGAAAAATCAAACTTTGCCAAAATTCAATATCAAAAGATGATGACTCATATAACTTTATGTATGAGCGTCATTGTAATAAATTAAAATACGGGTGAAGATTGATTTCATCTGGTCAGAGAAGTGGCTTTTTTCTAGTAGTTCCTGCTTTATCACTGAGGAAAATTTCCACAATCAGTAGTCTCTAAAAATAAGGACTACAAACATACAGAGACTGCAAATAATGATTATGGGTATCAACAGTTAGAGAGCACTGGAGGGCAGGGAAACCTACATCAACTACACATAATTTAAAACTTCTTGGAAAATCTGCTAACCCTACCTCACAGTACCCAGTGTGTACTCTCCCATCTCCATCTTTTTTTTTTTTTTTTTGGAGACAGTGTTTCACTCTGTCACCCAAGCTAGAGTGCAGTGGCACGATCTTGGCTCACTGTAACCTCCACCTCCCGGGTTCAAGCGATTCTCCTGCCTCAGCCTCCTGAGTAGCTGGGATGACAGGCGCCCGCCACCACCAGGCCCAGCTAAGTTTTGTATTTTTAGTAGAGACAGGGTTTCGCCATGTGGGCCAGGCTGGTCTCCAACTTCTGACCTCAGGGGGTCTGCCCACCTCAGCCTCCCAAAGTGCTGGGATGACAGGCGCGAGCCACCGCGCCCGGCCCCTCACCCTGCCTTTTGTTTCCCGTTCCCACCCTTTGTTTCTTCCTCTCAATTCTATCCTCTCCACCATCTGATTCCAGCTTTCATTCTCCCACTAAGGAATACAGATTAAACATAGATTAATTGTTTATTTAATAGGCATTAAATTATGCACTTTTACTTCCTGCTGCTTTAAGACTCACAGTGCATATTAACTGGATTTTTAGGGGTTCTTTCTTCTTAAAAAATAATCTTAGAAAATTCAGAAATTAGGCCGGGCACGGTGGCTCACACCTGTTAATTCAGGCACTTTGGGAGGCTGAGGTGGGCAGATCAGGAGGTCAGGAGATTGAGACCATCCTGGCTAACATGATGAAATGCCATCTCTACTAAAAGTATAAGAAATTAGCCAGGTGTGGTGGTGAGTACCTGTAGTCCCAGCTACTCGGGAGGCTGAGACAGGAGAATTGCTTGAACTCAGGAGGTGGAGGTTGCAGTGAGCTGAGTTAGCACCACTACACTTCAGCCTGGGCAATGGAACAAGACTCTGTCCCCAAAAAAAAAAAAATTTAGAAATTAATATGATCCTTTGTTTAAGCACTGGAAAAGTCCTGGATGTTTCTTCAATGGAGATGCTTCTAAATAATAAGATATATATCCCATCACTACAAAAAACATAAAAATTAGCCG